TGTTGATGTCATTAGACCACACCCCTTCTCATTACAGAGATGCATATCACCTAATATGCTTAATTGGTAGTAGGCTTTCGAGCCTATAAAGCTTGGAGTAAGACAACATGCATGAAGAGGATGATGTGGACAAAATACTCATTTGCCTAATAATTCTGCAATCCCTGTATTGTTTAATTTTTGCTTGATGCAATGTGCATAAAGTTAAAAGATTAAAACAAATAATACAAGTTTTAAAGAGACTTTATCATTTGATTACATTTTACATGATCAATTGTGCATAAAAAATGGAATTGGGCTGAAAGGTCCATTGCTTTATTACCTATTCAGGTTGTATATCATGTTTTTAATAACTAAGTAACTAATTACTTTTGAAAATAAGTAATCAGTAAAGTGACGTGATTACTATTTTGGAGAAGTAATTAGTTACTAATTACTTTTTTCATGTAACTTGACCAACAGTGGGTACAATAGCTATCTTCATGTATTAGATGCTTTTTATTGCCAATGTTTTACTTCACTTCACACAAAAAAATAATAATTTTAGGCATGCAGAAAATTTCTGAAACCTACAATTTCACACACACAGTGTTATTGAACATATTTAAAATATATGAGTTTTTTTATGTTTTTAAGAAAAGTTTTGGCTCCATTCATTCTCTCTTTTGGCTGCAGATCATCAATATGACGGCTGCCAGCTATCTTCTGACTGAAGAGCAGCTTTTGTGCTGCATCTGTCTGGACGTGTTCAGGGATCCCGTCACACTCCCATGTGGACACAACTTCTGCAAAGACTGCATCACGGAACATTTAAATTTTAATTCCCAGCGCAAGTGTCCCATGTGCAAAGAGCAGGTGGATAGGAAATATAAGCTTGGTGTGAATACTTTCATATCTGAGATGGCTGTTCAGTTTAGAAAAACTGTTGGAAAGAAAGCTGATGATAGCTCAGAACAACACAATGCCATACAAGAAAAAGGTTCTTATGATGCTCCTGCTGCACCTAAACGGACATCGCTGAAGTCCTGCCTGTTCATAATTCTTAGCTTAACCTTTCTTACACTCTTCTTTGTAGCTAATCTACATTTTCATCAAACAGTGTCCATCTTAAAAACTCACAAGCTGTTTAATTCTGTGGAGAAAGAAGAAGACAGGATGTGTGCTGAGCATGGCAAACCTTTGGACTTCTATTGCAAGAATGAACAAATGATCATATGTCAGTCATGTGTGGACGCAGATCACAGATTTCACCAGGTAGTTCCCCTGAAAGAGGAATATGAAGCAAAAAAAAACACAACTTGGGATAACAGAGGCTAAAATTCTCCACATGATCCAAGAGAGACAAAGAAAAGTCCACGAGCTCAAACAATCTTTAAAGCTCAGCACAGAAGCTGCAGACAGAGAGACAGCAAATGGTGTTCGGGTCTTCTCGGCTCTGATTAAGTCTCTGGAAAGAGCTCAGGCAGAGCTAATCGAGATGACTGAAGAGAACCAGAAAAGGACAGAGAAACAGACCAAAGTTTATATCACAGAGCTGGAGCAGGAGGCCTTTGAGCTGACAAGGAGACGTGATGAGATGGAGGAACTCTCACGCTCTAAAGACCGTCTTCGTTTCCTCCAGAGCTTCCCGTCCCTGAAAGCTGCTCCACCCACCAAAGACTGGACAGATGTCAGCATCTGTCCAGCAATATACGAGGGAATCACAAGGACAGCTTTGGTGAAAGCTGTGGATGAGCTGACAGAGACCATCAAAAATGAGGTGAAGATGATACGGGACGCTCAGTTCAACAACATTCGGCAGAATGCGGTGGATGTTACTTTGGATCCCGATACGGCACATCCTGCTCTCATCGTGTCCAATGATGGGAAGCAAGTTCATTGTGATTATGAATGGAAGGAACTGCCAGACAGCTCAAAAAGATTTGAACCTGCAATTTCTGTTTTAGGGACACGAGGCTTCTCCTGTGGAAGACTTTACTATGACGTCCAGGTTAAAGGAAAGACTGGGTGGACGTTAGGAGTGGCCAAAGGGTCGGTCAATAGGAAGGGAGAAATTAAACTTAACCCAGAGAACGGCTACTGGGCTATATGTCTGAGGGACAGAAATGAGTACTTTGCACTTGCTGCCCATCCTGTCCCTCTCTCTGTGAATGATCACCCAGAGAAGGTGAGAGTTTTTGTGGATTATGAGGAGGGTTTGGTTTCCTTTTATGATGTAAATGCTGCAGTTCTTCTTCACTCATATACTGGCCAAACCTTCACAGAGAAACTTTATCCATTTTTCAGTCCTGGTAGTAGTGACAGTGGCACAAACACTGCCCCCCTAATCATCACTCCTGTCAAACAGCAAAGATCGGACTAATTTTTTATTTTTTTTAACTATTTGGTTGTTTGGATGTAATTTTGTTTTAGTTGGTGGTTCTTGAGGGTATACTCTTGGTTTTAGGTTTAAAGGAGGCTCACTAACATCAATGTTTCACTTAGAAAAGCTGACATTTAGAAAGAAATTATTTCAAAGGAATTTTTTATTCAGGTAAATGTATTTATTTTCGGTTCATATTAGAAAGGAGTATAGGAGTAGGAGTATTTTGGAAGAAATTAAAACTGTATAATTAAACTTTAATGAGCATCTTAACGCCCCCTGTTTACATTGAAATTAAACTTTGTTATTATGGATTTGTGCTATATTGTAAATATCATACCATAAAATAACATGTACACGAAATACACTAAAATTTCTTATTATTTAATATTGCTTAATTTTGTAGCTGGTCAGGGCTGTTTGGGATTTTGACAGCTATGTTCTGTTGTTCCAGGTTTGCAGCATTATGTTGTCATGGTTACAGGTGACGCTCTTTTTTTGTTGTTATGCTAGAGCTGCGCCAAGTGGTTGTGTTAGTGTTCGTCTGTTGAATGCTAAACGGCTGTGCTCCCTGGCTAACACTGCGGGATGCCAGACTGGACATTACCTCTGTCTCCTCCTTGTCTGAGCTCGCCACATTGGTGTCAGAAGTGGGATAGTTCACCCTCGCCAGAATGGAGAGAGATATTCAGAGGCTGGAGTAAGCCGTCGAGGAGCAGCGGCCCGCTGCAACAAACGCTAGAAGGCCTATCTCCACCTACCACCACTTCCCCTGCCGGTGGCGGACTCCCTCAGGTGTCGGTGCGTTGGTGGTTCCTTGTGTCTGGGGGTGGGCATCCAGGTACACACCGGCTCACTCCTTGGCGGCCGCTTATCGGGGCCTGGAGCCTGGGGCTCGCTCAGGCCCCTTCGGGGGTGGGGTGCCCCCGGCCTCTCGGCCTGGGGCTCGGTCACTCAGGCACAGCTGGCGGCCGGCGGAGCTCACGGGCGCGTCACTGCCACTCCCCCTGGCTTCTGCTCCGCGGCTGCTGAGTGAACCCTCATCTGGGACTCTCCTCAGCTCTTACTGGAACAGTGGCGCAGCTGCCCCTCTGTTGGTCTTCCATGGTTTCTTGTGTTCTGGGGGCCTCTGGATGTCTGGAGCTTTGATCTCCTCCATACCTGCTTCACACCCTGGAGGACGGGGCTGTGGACCCCCCACACTCCCTAGCAGATCTTTACATGGAGAAACCTTTGGAATACAAGCGCGCTGATCCACACAGGTATGCACACGGGTGTTCACTGCTCGTAGACCCAAATTACACCTTTCTTGGCTGCTACTTCGAAGCACATCTGTCCTGCGTGCTGCACAACAACATTGAATATTTAGTATTTACTGCTGTTTACACTTAGCTAGATTAATGCGATGGTGTTGTGTTTAGTATGTTGCTTTGTTTTGTTTTGGGGTTTTTTGTCTTTTTTTGCTTGTTTTCTATTCTTCTCTCAACAGGTGATCCAGGAGATTTAAATTTTTTTTCTCCCCCCCTTTCTCACTGTCCCTCTCCCCTTCTGTTTTTCCTTTCCTTCCTCTTTCTTTCTCCCTTTCCTATCTCTCACTCATGTCTGTCCCGTCTGTAACATCTGAAAATAAAATATAATAAATAATAAAAAAAAAGATCGACCAAATGGACCAATACGGCAATGCCACGATGATCCATTTGGCAAAGTAAATCCATTGGGTATCCTTGTTGGTCTTCAGACAACAATTCTGATGGCTAAAGAACCAAATGGGACAGGCGAAAAAACAAACAAAACAAAAACGCTAGGACAATGCTTCGTGGGCTGCCTCTGGCGACCAATAGGCCAAGCCCCCGACAGCAAGCAGTGATGCCTACAACGCCAGCTAAGGTACCGAAATACAACGGGCTAACCCCGCTAGAGCCCTACCTCTCACAAGTATGGCTAGCTGCGAGGCATAGTGGCTGGAGCGACGAAGAGGCTGCTACACACCTAGCGCTAGCGTTGGAAGGAGATGCACTGCAGGTACTCCTTGACCTAGCCCGGCAGATCAGCATGAGCTCCAGGCCCTCACCATGGCACTCGAGAGGGGATTTGGGCAGCGGCACTCCACTGATCAGAGCAGGGAGCAGCTGACCAACCGGAGCCGCTGGACAGGGGAGAGCCTGGGCACCTTTGCAGCTGATGTGTTGCTATATGCTCGTCGTGGCTACCCGGAGTTCCCAGCAGCAGCTTAGCCTGCATGCTTTTCTGCGAGGACTCTTTCCAGAGCGACTGCGCCAACACGTCCGCCTGGCCATGCCTCGAACTCTCTGTGAGGCGCTCCTTGAGGCTGAAAGGGCTGAGCTGGTGCTCGCCTCATGACCTAACCAGCAGGTGACCCCCCCAAACTACCCCCCAAATCAGAGCCACAGACTGCGACAGGGAGGGATAGGCTGCGGAGATATTCCAGCTGCAGCCCTCGGTGCCCCAGAGGCATCTCCGTTGATCGACCGGCCGCTGCTACCGGTGCGATGAGCCTGGCCACCTGGCGCGTGACCGCCTGGCGCCCACCCCGAAGACCAGAACTACGTGGCCTCAGGGAAACGAGAGGGGGAGCGGTGTAGCGAGGGGACCACTGCTCCAGCTTCCTGCCCCCCTCCAAGAACGATGCACGGTGGTGGGCCTAGTTGGCCACATCAAGGGACTCTACCTGAGCTGTTGTGTTGAGGATCAGCCCTGCCGGGCCCTGGTGGATGCGGGGTCTACCATTTCCCTAATACGACCTGGGGTGCTCCCTGGGACGTCCGGGCCGCTTGTGATGGGTTGGTCACCCACTGACACCCAGCTGATGACAGTGACGGGGGAGAGGACTGACATGCAGGGGAAGAAACGTTGCGGATCCGAGTGAAGGATGTGGAGGTGGTGCATGACTTCTGGCTTGCTGACATCCAAGACCAGTGCATCATCGGCCTTGATCTGCTGACCTGCTGGGGGGCCTGCATTGACACCGTGAAGCTGGCGATCACTCTTGGTACAGAGACTCTGGCGCTCCAGTGCAGTCAAAAGCAGGGAACAGAGGGAACCAGAGACAGACAAGCCGGGCTTCAGGCAGCTGCCACTCAACAGACTTCGGACGCCGGTGGCTCTGGACCATCTCTACTCACCTCAGCCCCAGTCTCTAGGCCCGACAAACCTCCTTCGACCAAGACAACCCAAGCTGTTGATGACCTGTGGCCGCGCCAGCGGTTGAGGTGCCTCCTGGACAAGAATGTGGACATCATTGCCGCTAGTGACAGAGACTTCAGGCAGATGCGGCTGGTTCAGCACACCATCGACACTGGCTCTGCTCAACCCATCTGTCTGCGCCCACACCAACTGCCCTTCTTGAAATGACTGGGGGCGTGGGCCCAGGAGGCACTGGGCGTGGCTACTGATCGGGCCACAACAAGCGGAGAGGGGTGGCTCTTGTTGACCATGCAGCAGCTGAAGCGGGAGCAGGAGGCTGATGCGAGGTTGGTTTAAGTGGGGGCCTGGCTGGAGGCGGCACGACGCCCAGGCTAGACATGGGTATCAGGACAGGGGCCCAAAGTGAAGGCCTACTACTCCCAGTACAATAATCTGGAGACCCACGACGGCCTCCTATACCGGAGATGGTGGGCAGCCGGTCAGGGCAAGGGTCTCCTGCAGCTGTTGGTGCCTCGGTCGCTGCGGTCACAGGTGCTCGAGCTTGTCCACGGCTTAGGGGGCCCGGCCACTATGGGAATGCCAAAACTCTCCGTCATCTCAGGGGATGGTTCTACTGGCCTTCATGTGCACTGCTGTGACACCTGCACGGCACGAAAGGGCCCCACTTAATGCTCCACTGCCCCCCTGCAGCAGCACCGGGTGGGGGCCCCGATGGAGAGAGTGGGAGTGGACGTCCTAGGGCCTTTCCGAATCGAGTGTTCGTCTGTTGAATGCTAATAAACAGCTGTGCTCCCTGCTAACACTGCGGGAAGCCAGACCAGACGTTACCTCTGTCTCCTCCTTGTCTGAGCTCACCACAATATTGATGTTTCTTTATTTTACTGTATTTCCAATATAGGTACTATTAAGTATTGCTAAGTATTTTAAAGTAAAACTTAAAGCATAAGTCTTGGGCATTATTAAGAAGTATTATTTATATAGATATTTTGTACCACATACTGAAAAAAAGTTTATTTTGTAGCATGAAAGCCACATCCATGTCCTCATTGCTCTTTACAGACCCACTAGTAATATAACGTTGAATGTTTTTTTTTTATATTATAATAAAAGTGTGAATATAAACATTTGAGCGGTTTTGTCACTCCGGCTGCAAGATGAATTTGGGAGGGGGTGCCAATAGTACCACAGTCCCAATCAAAAGTTTAAGACAACTCAATTTTTTAAAAAAAAGCAAAAAAATGTAATCTTTTGCATGGTTGGATCTTAACAAGGTTGCAAGTAGAGCCTCAACACTCATCAAGAAGAAATGGGAGTGAGACAAATCATTTTGAGGATGCAATTTATTGAAAACAATGCTTAAACTAAAACAGGCTGTTTCACAGCTATTCAAAAGTCTGTTTGAATAGCCCCCGCCACACACACATACACACACACACACACACAAAATATATTAAGGATTGTACATTAACCTAAAACTGTTGTCGGAACCACACACACACATGAAGTACATATGTGCATTCATTGTATGCAAACGGCTACCAAACAGCCATCATAATACATCATAGAATGAGAACAGGACAAATCAACAACTGACAATGACTAATTAATATTAAAATCTGTAACATAATGTTTGGAGTTTAGTCTGTTACTGTTGCTATATTTACCATTTCTTCTTGGAGCAACTGTAATGCACATTATTTGGGGATTAATAAAGTATTCTGATTCTGATTGTTTCAGGATGACCTGCCATTATCCAACGACACATCTGCTTACCTGCATCTTTTGCTCGTTTTTCCTCCTCTTCTTTTCTATTTTTTCTAAACTGAGCACCTGAT